AAATGAATAAAGGCTGATAGTTTCGAAAGAAACTGTTTGGGGCTGCGTCGGTGGGAGTAACGAAATAATTTGGATATATCAACAAAGTTGAAGTGGTAAATTGGCCACCGTAACGATTACAAAAGCTGACGTTTCGAGCGTTAGCCCTTCGTCGGAGCGAATAGAGGAATTGTGGGTTGTGTGTGCTTTTAAAGGCAGAGAATGGAGCTACGTTATTGGTGGGAACATGGCCACGAGAAGAACAAGAATAAATTAGTGGAATGAAAAGCGTTCGTTGATCCCTGTGGGATTTAGACTGCCGGAAGATGAGCTTTTGTTCAAGATTTTTACTTTCGTCTCTTTATGTTCGATTTTTTTGTATTTTGCTTTTGTTCTTTTTTCATATTCGCCCCAAGTTGAGATGTGAGAATCCATTCTGCTTTTAAATGTGGCCAGCAGTCACCACCCAGGAAAAACAGCCTCAGTTTCAAGTTATCTGTCTTCAATATGGGCTTGAATGATTCAATAGATTTGTGATTGTGTTTGGTAAAAGTGGGTAATGCGATGAAATATTAGGATATATGTATTGTTTCCGTGGAAAGGGAGTACTTCCCAGCAATAAGCTGATGGGGACGTGCCACTGGATGGGGTCGCATTTTCACGACTGGATTGAACATAATGGGGTCGCCCTATCAATAGAGTTACCAGAATGGGGTCGCACATTTTCAGAATTTCTAGGGTAAGAAAATTATGGTAATTAGGGATTGAAAAATTGGTCGGGATCAAAAAGTTGTTGCCTTTTCGACCGGATCGCGTTAATTGTACTTGCCCAAAAGTGACCAAGATGGGATCTATATTTGGCTACAGAATAGGCTCTATTTGTGTAGGGGTTCTGAGAGGCCAGCGGCACATAACCAACATAAATTGACCCAAGTACTCTTCCCCGGAGTATTTGTGGTGTGGCTGGCTATTGATATAATTAATTGTGAACTTTGTGATGTCTGTTGATATATTTGAATATGAACTTTGCGATGTCTGATGGTTAAGTGGTTGAATGAAAACGTAAGTTCCAAAAAAAGTGAGATGTTTGGTGATTTGTTGTGAACGTGAATGGAATTTGGGAATGGTACGAGCTACAAAGGTTACGTAGTTATCAAGTGACGTGGGTTAGCTCGCGTTTATAGCTTAAAACCATCGTCTATGTAAGGACAGAATATAAAAATATTGCTAGCAAGGGGGGTAGTTATATCAAAGAAAAGGAAGTTTCCCTTAGAAATACCAAGAGGTCTGCAATTATATTTGCTGGCTATGGCTGACTACCCATGCCTACTCCCCCTTAGATTTGCCGATAAGCGGTATTACAATTGCGTCGGTTAATCTAGTTATTAACTAAGCAAATAAGCTTTTTCAAGAAATGATAAACACCAGAGCGTAAACTATTGAGTTATGGATGCACACGGGAGGTTGCTAGGCACGAAAGAAGCGTAAGAGTCACGCAATGCGATAGTCCAGAGCGACTTTAGCTTCTTGAGTGCTTGGCAAACCTATCCCAGGTGCACCCATAATTCAATTGTGTACGCTGCGGTGTTTACCATTTGTTTTATAATGTAACATTGATAAACTGTAGCAAAAGAGCTCCCTTTTGTTTAAAAAATCTTACCTGACCAGAAAAAGCAAGCGCGCGAAAGCTAGTCTTTGCGTTTGCTCACATCAACAGCGTACACCCATTGGCAAATGGTGGACAGTGGATTGGCCAATCAGAGCGCGACCTTTATTTTAATTATGTTATGATAAAAAATTGGCAAGTTAAGCAAGTTACAATGAGCTAACCCGACAGGCTTTGTAAATTCTTTCACAAAAAGGTCAACATTATGGCATAAGCATAATGTGATTTTATCTCGCGAGGCCCGTCATAGTTAAGTATTTAGGTGTGCCTTTGCATGGGACAGATCTTAAGCCAATCAAATGAGATCAGATCAAATAGCACCAAGGTTATAGGCAAGGTCAGTGTCTCTCCTGGTCCATCTCGCCTTCATTCCCATCGTGTTAACATCCGAACACAGATTTTCGGTACTGTAGAAGAATTTTCCCGCTCCCTCCCCATGGTCCGGCCCTCCCTTTAGGCTTTCGTTGCCTTTTTATAGGTATTTGGCTCTTTGCTAATATTTAACCCCACCTATGCTTCTGAGACTGTGTGGTGTTTATTAGATCAATGTTCTTGATGTCCGGTGAAATAAAAGCGTCACTGTTGTGGCCAATTTATCCCACATTAGCAGTTATTATTTTATCTCCCGTCAATCTCGTCAGCAAACTAGTGCGACGGCACGCAGAGCTTCGGTTCTGTTTCAGTAGAGACACGCAGGTTTCGTGATAAAAGATAAGTTTTGTAGTTTCAAATGCACAAACCTAACATTGAAAGAAAGTGTCTTCAATAAATTTTGGCGATTGTATGGATGCTTACTTCTCGTGAGGAAGAAAAATACCACCAGCTTACTAGAAATGTTTTGAAGTTGTATGATAATAGTGCTGGGCAAGACATTTTAAAAAATTGTGGTCGTATTGATCCAACAAACAATGGATTGTACCTGAACTTGATTAGGAAGCCGTTCTTTGCCTCTTTGGAATAAAGAAAATTACACGAGCCAATGAAAAAAGCATCCAGGGAAAAGACTTTTATTAAGCTCACTTGGTATACAAGAGTTAAAAACTAAATGCATCATTCTGGTGATCGCATTCTCTGCTAACGGCATTGGTTGCATCTTTTCATGCAGTTTCTCCTAACCCTGGAGTTCCTGCATTGACGTACTGGTTGCCATC